GTGAAAAATCACAGCTACTTTATGCAGGCTGTGTGCATTTTACTGTGGACTGACGGTTTTGAAACTTATATGGTAGTTACATAGCACCTAGACCTCAGTTATCATGAAAAAAGACAGGATATTTCAGTTTTGACAATATGGGACCTATAAACGATCCATGTCGCACAGTGTGATAAAATAATGATCTTATAGGATTGCTAAAATCGTGCAGTGTATCCTGGGCTTTAAAAGAGATTATCAATTTTGTGCTGAACACAAAAGAATATATTTTGAAGAATGTTGGTAACCAAACAGTTGACGGTAGCCATTGACTTCCATAATATGGAGAAAATATTATGGAAGTCAACGGCTACTCGCAACAGAATATCTTCTTTTGTGGTCAACAGCTGAAAGAAATACAAGTTTGGAATAAATTAAGGGAGGGTAAATGATGACAGATTTTTCATTTTCATGGGAACTATTCCTTAAATTAACAAAAAAAAGTGGGAAGCTGTCAGTGAGAGCACAACTGGACTCCCTGTGTCCGATGGTCTACGGGTGGTCACAGCACGCAAGCCTATTTTAAATTAACATTTAATTAAGCATATACCTCATCTGGCAGCTCACTGAACCTTTAAGATCATTCGACTCAAGCAGCGAACATGTAGGCACGAACTAGCAGTGACACAGATTCGGGGCAGTGGGAGTGACTCAGAGCTCTGCGCGGCACCGGATGAACAGGCACGAATGCTCCCACACTGAGGATGAAGCACAACTCAGCAGAGACAGAACATGGGATGGGGGAGACAAAGAAATATGAAGAGAAAAAGAAGCGTTGGTCACTACAGCGTGCGTCAGGAAGAGACTCGCTTAGCCTGAGGGCGCTACCACACTAGAGAAAGTGTTTGATGAGTAGGATGAGCTGTGGAAAGAGGCGGATAAGTTTAAAATTCATTACCGAAACATACACAAACCATCCCTGTTGAATTCAAAAGATTCAGAACATTATCTGACGCAGCGAAAACTCTAGCATGTAGGCACCCTTAGTCACGAAAAGAATGAGCAACACCAGAATACCGAATACCACAGAACTGAAGTAGGCAAAGGTGGGCTATCAAATAAACAGCGAAAGACTTAAAGTTCACCCACTATTCGCTCCTTTCAAAATGTTTCACCTCAGTGACAGCTCCCCAGCTTTTCATAAGCGATGGATAGTCATAACTGCAGATCAACGCCTGCGTTTAACAACACGTGGAGGCCTGTGAAGATACAAGGCTGAATGTGGGAGTTACAGAATTATTTATTTTTAATCTCGACTTTTAGCCACATCATGGGAGTACGAGCTGCAGTTTTCAGAAACACTGGCCCTCGTTGGGACTTTTCTGAAAGTCTGAGTGTGTGTCAGCATCTGACTGCAGCAAGCGCTGATATTCGCGCTCCGCCGCCAGGCTGTCCGGAGGCTGTCTGTGTGAACGGCTAAAGCCCAATAAAAGAGTTCACAAACTCGCTACTCTTCAAATCAATAAAACCATGTCTGTATCCCTCGCTGTCTGTTTTCACATGTTCAGTTTTCAAACCTCATGTTTCTCCTCTCGCTCGCCCTCTCTTTCTCAATGACCATGGAGGCTTGTTTGCCATATACTTGGAAGTGGCATGGAAATTTTTACTGTGGTAAAACTTGAAAGGAGGCTAAATTACATTTTATTATCCTTACCAGATTTTTAAACTGAACAGGATGAAAAAAGACCAAAGAGGACTTCCCACTGGAGCATGGCCATTCATTTAGGATGGAATATTTTATAACCTTTTTACTCAGTATAGGAATTAGTGTGCACTAAGCCTGAAGTATGCAAAGTCAGATAGATGGACAGACAGACAGACAGACAGAGAGTTATGCTTTAATTTGACCTTTCCTTTGATGTGTAAAGAACAAGAAAAATTAGTTCTTTGAACAATAAATGACGTAAAACCTATAGACAACCTGAACAAAATTATGGACCTGTAAATGAGCATAATAGGGCACTTCAAAAACACTAATAATTTAATAGGCCTAACACTTAACTGTACTCTTTAGCAAATCTCAAAATGAATATCTATTTTTCATACTGTAAATAATAATGTTCATAGGCGGAACGTGTGTAAGGCTTGGCCACGGGGACTTGGGGCAAAAATGCCACTAAATTGGACAAAAATGCTCCTGCACAAACAAATGAAATCTATTATGTCTGTTGCTAACAAAGTGAATATGAATAGACAATGTTGATTGCGACATTAAATTAAGATCTGCTCATGTTGCACCATATTTCATTTTAGGAGTTTTTACAGTGTTGCACATTTTAACCAATCACACACAATATTCTTTAGATCGCGGCATAATGTATTGCTCTTTAAGCATGCTTCACTTTGTCAGACAGGTTCTATTTAAGTGATTTCTTGATTCAACAGGTCTGGCAGTAATCAGGCCTGGGTGTGGCTAGTGAAATTTAACTCAGCTTTCTAAAATAATATGGTTAATTGCGGTTCATTCATGATTTAACAGGAGGGGGCAATTAATTTTTCACGTAGGGCCAGGTAGGTTTGGACAGCTTTTTTCCCTTAATAAATGAAATCATCATTTAAAAACTACAATTTGTTTGATGATCTGAATCTTTTAAGTGTGACAAACTTGCAAAGCAATAAGAAATCAGGAAGGGGGCCAACACTTTTTCACACCACTATATATATATATATATATATATGCTACCCTAATGAACCAGTGAAAAAGAGCTGAGGGGGTGAATGGGGGTCTGCCAGATTGTAGAGCGTAAACGAGAGGCAACAGCTGAGCTGAAGTGAGCAGTCATTGGCACTCAGCAGACCCTCCTTTATGTTTGAGGGTAAGAGACACGCTGTTCTGTGAATGTCTTCTGCTGAGTGCAGAGCAGGCTCTGTGCTCTGCCGTCCTCACCTATGTGCGTTAACTTCATTTTCTGCCTCTGCGTAACGCAGCTGCAGAGCCTCTATATATATATATATATATGCAGCCTACCTGCCTCTGTCCTACAACAGTTTTACGCCATCCCTCCTCCACCCCAACTCTGAAAGTGTGTTGTGATTGGCTAAACCGCCTCTAGCGCGCGTCTAATCGTCCCACCCCTCACCTCAGCGGCATGTGCTCCGGTTGTATTGTAAACAATGGCATCGTTAATATCGCTTATCAGTTTGAGCCCGATTGAGAAGCAGAGGATATTATTGAATAGGATCATGCAGAACCTGTACAAGAACGACTTTTAATGGTAGGCCTATGTTTGTTGTTGTCTCATACTTTTAGATACGCTGTTGTAAATGCTACTGCTTATGTTAGCTTTTAATATATGTTTTTATCCTGATTAAAGCTTTAATACAGTACAGCAACCGCATGTGCATCCATGTTTAATGCTTCTCATAGCTATGTGAAAATAAGTGTACAGTATAATTGGAACAGTTCATTGAGAGAGAGAGATAGATGCAGAGCAGGGGAACGCGAGGAACAGTATTAAGAACTGCTGCTTTTGAACATTGATTTTGAAACTTATGAATCCATTAGAATCGTTAGAAGACAGAATCGCGATTCATATGAATAGATTTTTACGTGCACCTCTAGTTTTCTCTTCCTCTTCTCTAAAGCAGCGCAGCATGGCCTCGCCCCCTTTGCTGCCTTTCCCGAGGGGGGGGTTTATCTGGGTTTGTGATGTCACGATCCCGGGAAGTAACTTGTTGTAGTCCCTACCAACCATTTTTATATTTTTAAAAGACGATATCTCCGTTTGCATTGAACTTTCAGCTTCGTAACTTTGCAGATATTGTTTATGCCCAAACAGCAACATTACACACTAACTAACGTTAAAAAATGAACCACCCTTTTAAACTCGCGATAGATCAATGTTAGTGATATGTCACTTTCTAGCCTATATATAATTTATTCGCAGTTTGAATAACCGTGGAAAGGAAACGTTATATAATGATCAATTTCTAACGTTTTTATTAGAAATCGACCGATATATCGATTTACCGATATTTTTCCCGGTATTTAAGCATTTTACAATAATCGGATATCGGTTTTGTAATATCGGATTCACAATTTGAGAATTGCGCGCAGGATCGCCATTGCACCACGGCGTCTGATGGGAGAGGAGACAACAACAACGGCGTGCACAGGTACTTGATTTACTGTAGTTAGTAAACTTTATTATTTAACATAACAGCCATTAATGCACAAATTAGATGTATTACATAAATGCCTGATATGCAGTTTATGCAGCTTGGATCGAAGAAATAGAGACGAACTCACGGAGTCACGTAAAATAATCCGTCAAATCCTGTCCCAATAAAGACGTAACTTTGCGTGAATTAAATAATATGCAGCCATGAATGGGCGCATGTTGGAAATAAAAGTGCTGAATTTAATTCGCTCTCTGTTGTCTATATGCTCATCGTCTCATGAAGGCGGAGTCACGTAAACTAAAATAATCC